AAAATGGGTAGAATAACTGCCACTTCTTCGTCTTTTGGTATTTGGCTTTCACTCCATGCCCTATTACATATTTTGTTAGCAGTTCAGTGATTTGATCAAATCCAGCCGCCTTACCTTTCTTAAGCTTCTGTATGATTTCTTTTATTTCTGCTGTAGGTATTTCATTTTGAATTTGGTCTTCTTGCTCTACCTTTTCTGATTCTTTTGTGATAATTACATCATTTTGGATATTCAGTAGATCCTTCAAATTATGCTTCCATCTATCTAGGATGTGGCCATTATCATGCAGTAAGTGTCCTTCTTTGTTCCTTATTTGATTTGATGTTTGTGAAGCCTTTTCGTTCTTAAATTCTTCAGGGTTTTAAAGAATAACTTTTCGTTAGAGTGGTAGTCTTCTTCCGTCTTGTTTCTGAATTCTTCCCAAATTTTCCGTTTCGCTGCTAGTACCATATTTTTGACTTTGATTCTGTACAGTTTATATATTTGGTAGTTGTCTGCAGTTCCGTTCCTTAAATAATTCTTTCAAGCTATCTTCTTGGACTTCACTTCTGCTTTTATTTCATTGTTCCACCAGTTTGTACACTTTTTGCTTCTGTTATTTTTTGTTATTCCGCATAATTGTTTAGCACTGTTAAGGAGTGCTTCTTTTAGTATTTGCCAATTTTGGTCTAAGTTACAGTCATGTTCTGCGTGCTCTTTTAGGTAGTTTTTAACGAAGTTTTTAAACTTGTTTGCTGTCTCCTTTTCCGCTAGCTTACGTGACCTGATTACTTCTATAGTCTTCCAACCATATCATTACTTTACTGTAATATTGTCAAGTACCCCACCAAACACAAATGAAAATTAAAGTGATTGATAATATTAAAAATATTGTTTGTAATTGTACATGTAAGGCTGGAAATTCAGGCAAATGCCAACATATAAATCGCACATTACTATGTATTTTTCGATAAGTAATTACATCGTGACTTGATAAATGCAAAAGAACCATTTTGCTTTAACTTCATGTTTATAATTACTTTTTATTACTTACAGCTATACGATGGAAAAATTGAAAAAAAACCTATTTGATCCCATGAGATTTTTTTCGTTAATACAAGATTTTTTTGAATGTACTTATTGGATCATTTCTATTATTTGACATTTCATTATTATTTGACATAAAAAACTAAATTTTTAACAAAAAGTAGGTGTACTCATACGAGTAAAATGGGCTGATCGAGAGTCAAAAATATAAAACATTGTATAAAAATGAAAATATTTTATTTTCTTACAATATAGGTACATACTTGAGTATATCCTGTATTATATTTTACCTAGTATGAAATTGTACAAAACAGTTACATTCCATACACAGAGTAACTTTACATTTTATACAAATCCAATGTACTCTTATGTACTCTATAATGGCACAAGCAACATAGAAGTTGCTTGTCGATTTTCTTTGGGAAATGGCCGATTCCCTCCATTTTTAGACTAATTGGTACAGATCCTGCTAATGTTTTTCTAGAATAAGTAGATTTCCCAAAACCTCTTAAATAATGACGTACTACATCTCGTTAAAAGGCGAAAAGATCCATTTAATTTCAGCAAATATTTTTACTCTCCCCAAGTTAACATAGCTTAATTGAGCATGTGGGTAAAAATGAGTCACCACCATTTTTTACCTTGTATACTGACTCGTTAGTTATTAACCAATTGTTCAAAGAGATCAACACCGCCCATTGAAGCATTGTATAATGAGAAAAGTTTTGGTTGGGTACGTCAAGTTTTCGTTTTGCAGCTAGCACACCAACGATTCACATTTGAAAGTGGTTCAATAGTATCGTAATAGTTTAATGCCATTTTGACCACATTGTTGCCCTTCTATTTTACGACAGACGTAACCTCACAGGTGAATCAACTTATGTTAGGTTGGTTCACACTAAGCTTTTTATGTTACAAACACATTTTTCTACTACTACTAAGGATTTCCACAGCTTTCACTGTCTTCCTTCACTCAACCGTTTTCTCCAATTTTCCCTGTCATTCCAGTCTCCATCTCGCAGGGTTCTTTTCTCCATAGCCTCGTCGATTTCGTCTCTGAATGACCTTCGGGGTCTTCCTCTCTTTCTTCTTCCTATCGGGCTCCATTCTGTGATTTTGTTTATCCAGCGTCCTCTGTCCGCTCTTCTGACGTGGCCGTGCCAGGATAGTCTTTTCTTCTCTATATAGTCGTTTATGTCTGATTGCACTCCCATTCTCCGCTTAATCTCTGCGTTTTCAATTCTGTCTCTTTTTGTAAGTCTACAGCTTCTCCTCAGGAACTCCATTTCTACTGCTCTTATTCTATCTCCATTTTTCTTGTTTATTGTCCAGTTTTTGGACCCATATGTCAGGATACTTCTTGTCAGGGTATTATATATTCTATTTTTTGTCTTTATCGTAATGTTCTTATCCCACGGCACTGAATTTAGTTGTCTTATACAGTTTCTTGTTTGTCTTAGTCTGTTGTATATATCTTCTTCTGTTGTTCCCTGGTTCGATATTATGGATCCTAAATATTTGAATTTATCTGTTCCATTTACTTGTCTTCCCTCGTCTATCTCTAGGTTTCTCATATCCTTGTTTTCTGCTGTTAGGTATTCGGTTTCCTCTAAGTGTATTTCCATTCCGTTGTTTTTATATTCTTCTTCTAGTTTTCTGAGCATAAAGCTAAGATCTTCTTCATCTTGTGCGATGACTACTTGATCGTCGGCAAAACTTAAGGTGTATAGGTATTCGTCTCTTACTGTTATGCCCATTCCTTCGCACTTTCTCCTCCATGGTTTGAGTGTCTTTTCCAAGTGTCTTGTAGAAGTCCTTTTGTCGTCTTAAATGGATTGTAGGCTTTATTTCCACATTTAATAGCTACTTTGTTTTCTTTGTACAGTGCTTTAACTGCTTTTATTAGTGTTTGTCGGATTTCGAGATCATTCATTGCTTCCCACAATTTGACTCTAGGTATTGAGTCGTATGCTTTCTTTAGATCAACAAACGCCAGATGGACCGGTCTACCTTTTGCCATTTTCTTCTCTATCAGTTGTTCTAATGTGTACGTATGATCTAGGCATGCTTTTCCTACTGTGAACCCTGCTTGGTCTTCTCCAATTTTTCTTATTATTTCAGATTCTAGTTTTTCCTTGATAATTTTCCCGTAAAGTCTACCTACCGACGATATTATACTAATTTCTCTGTAGTTTTCACTTTTTTTCCTGTTTCCTTTCTTATGTATGGATGTGATATATGCTTGTGTTCATTTCGCAGGTATTTCCTCTACATTTAGTCCTCTTTCAAACATTCTGTGTAGCATGCGGAATAACTTTTCCGTTCCGTTTTTAATTAGTTCGTTTGGTATCCCTCCGGGTCTTTTGGCTTTTTTGTTCTTCAATGTTTTGATTGCTCTCTTGACTTCTGTCAGACTTATTTCTATCTGGTCGTATGTCCCATGTCCTGCATGTTCTGTATTCTCTTCCTGAAATTGGGGACGGTTTTCTGTAAGTAGTTCTACGTAGTATTCTTGCCACTCGCTTTCACTAATTTTGCCGATCTGGATTCTCTCTGTCTTATTTCGTTGGAGTGCTTTTAATATTCGCCATGATTCTGAATTTCTCAATTTTGTTACAAACACATTTTTACAGCCTATAAATGGGTAAACTGTTGAAAGTTTATAGGAAACATTGGTAGAGAAATTCATTAGACACAGGTCTCTTATAAAGGGTGTTTTAAAAGGACATATCATAAATTAAATCACAGCCCTAAAAAAAGTTACAGCCCTTTGAAGTTACAAAATAAAAATTGTTATTTTGCATTATCTCCTAAACTATTTGACATTTTGTAATAAAAATGGACACGTTACTTTCTTGTTCTGAAAGCATTTTTATAAAAAAAGAACAACAAAATCTGAACAGAATCTATTTTGGAGAGTATTGTGTATTCTAATATTAGATTATGTCCTAATATACACTTTTATTTTCAATCACAATGTTCCTAGAACTTTCGATCAAACCAAATTATCGTAAATAATATCTTAGGTAACAATAAATCTGGAATATACGAAATTAAGCCCAGGACTAGCAGTAAACCCTTTGCTGTTTTATGCGACATGGAAATTCAAGGCGGAGGATGGACACATATTCAAAAAAGGTTCGATGGATCTCAGGAATTTTACCAACTGTGGAGAGATTACAAGTTTGGCTTTGGAAATCTAGATGGAGAGTTCTGGATTGGATTAGAAAACATTTACCACATGACAGGTGAGAATGATAGCTTTTTTTGATAGTAGAATTATAAAATGACTTATTTGGATCTGTTTCGATTTCTACATTTTACCATACAGCGACCTTAAAGATCTGACATGTGTATCCTACGTCTGTGTTGGCAGTTCTGTAAATAAATATTTACTTGCCCTTTAATCAGTGAAAACTTATCATTACAGTTGAATAATTAGTTTTTATTTTTACAGATAAATGTAAAATTTAATGGCTCAAAAAATTTCAATCAATCAATATTAATAATAGAAATCTATAAGCAATAATTAAAAAAAACAAGATTAATAAAGAAATTGGTGACTAATAATTGTCGAAAAAGTTTTTTTTTATTTTGAAACTTTGAGTTTACAGAGTTTACATTTATCTCTATTTTTCTTTTCAGTTGACTCCTAAAAAAATACGACTCTAAGTACGATGGGATCATTTTGAGCAGTGTATTTGATTGGTTATTTGATTTGTTATAACAGACAAATAATAAAATAAACAAAGAAACAACAAATAATTGATTGCATATATTAATTTATAAATTGTAATAATTATTATTATTGATATAAGGTTGAATGCTCGAATAAATGAACTTTGATCAAATAAAGGCAAATATCGAACACAGTTTAGTTAATTTAATCTTGCCCAAGTACTTTCACTCCCTAGAGCATCTTCAGAGGCATTCCGTTAATTGTGGCCTATCCGACAAGAATGAAATGTTAGAAACATAAAATGGTACATTACACTACACTACACATGGACAAATAAACACTTTAAAATTTTTAAAAATAGGCGAAGCTTCATTGTGTACAGAAGTATGAGACAGAATGGCTCCCGGTCTAACGGGAAATCATTTTCCGTTAGACCGAGAGCCATTTTGTCTCCGGCTTGTGCTTCTGCAAAAAAAAATTGTTAATAAAAAATGGAGGGAAGAAACTCTCGAAAGAAAGCGAGGGTCTAGAAGAACAAAACTATACTAAATTTAGGTATGTAAAAATAAAATAACTATTGTGTAATATCTCTATCAGCATTGATAATAGCATGTAGTCGTCGGTCCATTTGCATAAAAGAAATTATAAAATTGTCGTTTTTAGAGAGCTCTTCCTTAACCTGTACACTAAAATATTGAAGAGCCACAGCTTTTCAATATTTTGAGGTATAAAATTACGCCGATACAACAGTTGTACAGCTTTTTTGCACTGCTGCAGATAAGATAAAGATTACCATGATGATCGTTAACATTCGTAACGGATAGGTACATCAAGAAGAAGAAGACAACTATTTTATAATAACCCCTCACGCATTCTCCATTGGGTTTAAATCTGAACTGTAGCTGGGCCATGGTAAGGTTTCGATGTTGTTATTCTGGATCCACTGGTTTATTATATTTGCAGTGTAAACAGGACAATAATCTTGTTGGACTATTTAATTATTTTCTGGATACAACTGTTCTACACTGAAAAAAAAAAGTTTTTTAGAATATTCAAATAAGTGTGCCCAATAAACTTGCCATAAATACGCTATACCATTTTCATTCCTCTAGATGAAATTCATCCCCAAACATTAGCACTAAAATGACTAGCTGCTCGATATCTATTAACATATAGAGGGTTAAATAAATTATTATCTGGTCTATACACCCCAATTTTGCCATTTTTGGCAGACTGAAAAATTTTCTCATCTGTAGATAGTAGCACGTCCAAGTCTCAATAATACAATGGATTCAGTCAATGCTAAAAACGAGAATCATCACTGCTAGTATTGGAAGAGAATCTGTGACTGTGACAGCGGTAAAGGGGTGCCCTCAAGGGGGAGTATTATCGCCTTTACTGTGGTCTTTGGTTGTGGATGACTTCCTCACTAAGATGCATGATTCTGGTTTTATAACCCAAGGTTACGCAGATGACCTAGTTGTTTCAATTAGGGGCAAGCATGACCAGACTATATCTAGTCTCATGCAAACTGCTCTTAACGAAATTAAAAGTTGGTGCTCGAAAGAGGGCTTAAGTGTCAACTCCCAGCAAAACGACTTTGATACCTTTCACAAAATACAATTTACAGGCTCCAACTATGAATGGCATCACATTAGACTATTCCAAGGAAGTTAAATATCTGAGGGTCACCCTAGATTAAAAACTCACCTGGAATGGTCATATTGAAAAAATTTTATTTAGAGCTTTGGTGGCAAGTTGGACCTGCCGCAAGATGTTTGGAAAGACTTGGGGCGTACAACCGAAAATGACTCTCTGGTCATACAAAACAATATTAGGCCCATGGTCACATACGCATCATTCTTATGGTGGCCAAAAACACAACAAACAACAGCTAACGCCAAGCTGTAAAAGTGCAGCGGCTAGCTTGTCTGGGAATCACAGGGGCAATCTCAACAGGCCCCACTGAAGCTCTAGAGGCGATGCTGAACCTTCCTCACTTGCAGGTCTGCATAAGGAGGGAGGCAGTAACTACCTCCTTAAAACTGCGACAGACACAAATAATGAAACCTGAAGATCTAGTTGGCCACCTGAAAATCTTGGAAGAAATTCCATTGGATTATAAGGACATGCCGACAGATGCTATGCCAGTCAAATTCGACTTTGAACATAACTTAACACCCTTTGAAGTGGTCATAAAAAATCACCAAATGGGTGAAGAAATTGGGCCAAAAATGAAAGAAGGTTCACTCGTATGGTATACGGATGGATCTAATATAGATAAAAGGGCAGGAGTGGGAGTTACTGGGCCCAATTTCAGGCTATCGAAATCCCTTGGAAATGCCCCAACTATCTTCCAGGCAGAAATACATGCTATAGACATAAGTGCCCAAGAATGTCTCAACCGAGACACCCTTAGGGCAAAAGTCTTTTATTTTATCAGACAGCCAAGCCGCCTTAAAGGCTCTAAAGTTATTTACATGTGAGTCAAAGTTGGTTTGGGACTGTAAACAATCTCTCAAGAAGCTGTGTCTCATGAAGCAAATGAGGAAGCTGACAGCCTCGCAAAAGAAGGAGCTAGTACCCTATTCCAGGGTCCGGAACCCTTCTGTGGACTATCGTAAGGCCAAATCAGAGAGGAACTCCGTACCTGGGAACTCAATCAACTAAGATTATATTGGTCTAACACACCAGAACAAAGGCAAGCAAAAAGGCTCATAAAAGTGTCGCCTACTGCAACAAACCGCCTTCTCGAAATGAGTAAGAAAAATGTCAAAATGGTCACTGGCCTTCTCACTGGTCACTGTCCTCTGAGATATCATCTCAGGAAGATGAGCAAATCAGATAGTGAGAACTGTCGTTTCTGTAACAATGAAAAAGAAACGGCAGAACATATACTATGCAACTGCGTAGCACTGTTCTGCAAACGTCTAAAATTCCTAGGAGAGGTCAGTCTGGCGTCCTCTGACATAGGAAACAAATCACTTTGGAAGCTAATCAACTTCATCAGAATTATTGGCATTCAAGAGTTTAACTAGATTAAGGTATGCACAAAAGATCTGTATAGGTCGAAGTGCGGTGAGGCCGCGTGGCCTTATCCTCACATAATCTAATCTAATCTAATCTAGCCTGTCCAAAAATCTTGATTTTGTAGCTGATGGTTTAAAGCAAATATTTAAAGCAAATCAAAGTCTTGATTACTTCTGTTATGGTGTAAGAGCTTGTTTTTTTGCTGCAGTTCGATACCTAAGACGCAATGCTTTAATTCTGTGCTAAATTATTGTCTTTCTGTGACATAATTATGACAGTTTTTGCATTTTCAAAAAGATTCTCTTCTAATCTCTCCAAAAGCGTACAATTTTCATGAGCGGTAGATATTTTTTGTCCTTCAGAACCTTGCTTTCTTTCGAGAGTTTCTTGTTGTCTTCATCTTCTATAAAAATTAAAAACTGTTATTCTGCTTAGGTTGAAATAGTTCGCTACGGTAGATAGTGACCAACCATCTTCTAATTTCATTACAGTTCTTGTTTTTAGTTCTTTGCTAGCATGTGGAGCTATTTTTTGAGGTTGAACAGAATAAGCTTTTTAACAAATTTTAAGATTTGTCAGTGACAGTGACAATTTTAAATAATTTTGTATGTAAATAATATAAAATATTAACCCCCTCTGTGGCTCAGTGGTAAGAGCGCCTACCCTTAAACCTAAAGGTCGTGAGTTCGAATCTCACCTGGGTGAAAATTTTCGTTTATTAAAAAATTAATAAATGAAAATAATTTCTATCCTTGTGTGATCGGTACTCACCAGAGGGACCGCAAACGTTCGGATACAATTAGCGTCTCTTAGCAAAGACAGTGACGTCGACTTTGCTAAGTATCAAGACAATTACTCTACACACACAAACACACACACACACTACATTAATAAACTTATCTTGATTGAGACTGGCTGAATGACAATTGTCCAAGCCAAAACACACAAAAAAAATATAAAATATTTATCCTTCAAAATACACTGCTCCATTATCAACAAAAATACGATTTATGGGTCGTATCAGATTTTTTAGGAACCAGCTGAACTTATCAGTTAAATAAATAGTTATGGTTATAGAATTCTATTTTTCATTTAATTCTAATTCTTCGATGTATTTTTAGGATTTGAAGCCAATGAACTGTTAATAGAACTCATTGACAAGGAAAAGAAAACGGGACATGCGCATTACACATCTTTTGCTATAGGCCCTGAAAAAGATGGGTACAAATTGACTGTTCTAAACGGATATTCAGGAGATATCGGTGATGGATTAAGCGGTCATTTAAACGCCAAATTTTCAACTAAAGATATGGATCTGGATGAAAACTCCGGAAGTTGTGCTACAACTTATGGTAATTTTTTTGTCTAATCATCTTGAGTAATATTTTTTTGTTAAGTATATTATTTACTGTTTAATGGCATTAAACCAAAATTTAAATTAAATTTAACTGCCAAAATACGTTTATTTTAATGATTTAATTTCCACTTAGAAAATCATTCGCAAAATGCTTATTGAACGAATTATTTTGTTTCTTTTTTCTTAACCCTTGACCACTCACGTGCCATTTTTGTAGCGTGAGCACTACCTTAATTTTTTTTCAATCTTATAACGTAATCTATTTTTTTTTAAGCTAAAGTGTTTAATAGGAACTCTTTTAATTAATTGATGGATTCGACCGTTACTTGATGGAAATTCATTTTATATAACAATAAAACACTGAAAACTTTGTTTTCAAACTTCCACAAAATTTATTTTAAATATTATCACTACAGCTGTTTCGGCTGATTGCCTTTCTCAAGTGATCTATTTTGGCTTGAGTTTACAAATTTATAGTCTCTAATGAAATAGGTTGAGGAGGGGAGAACTGTTTGTCTCAAGTTGGTCATTCAGAATTATATCTGTGTTTTTTAATTTGTTGATTTCCATAGATTCTAACAAAGACAGCTTAAGGCCTTTACTTTAAATGTGAAGAATTTTAAATTTGTCATTAAAATAATGATTATGATCTAGAAGGTGAAGTGTGTATGTCGAATCTGTTTTTCTATTCTTGAAAGCCCTTTTATGTTCTGCTATTCGTTTATCAAAGTTTCTACCAGTTTGACCGATGTAAGTTTTTGGGCAGTCGCTACATTGAAGTTTGTACACACCACTATTTAAGTGTTTTTTATTTTTGCTCTTGTTATTTTTAATATATTTGCCTAGGTTTTTATTTGTTCGGAAAGCTGGTGTTATTCCTTTCTTTTTTATATGTTTGGCAAGTTTTGTTGTTATTACTCTTTTATTGTTACTCTTGTTTAATTTACAGCTACATAAAAAAATACTAAGAATATTTGAAGAGGTAAATTAAAAAAGGTAAATTTTTTAGGAACGAATTTTTTATACGTTTAAGAATATAATTAAATGTTACTTTGGAATAGAATCAGTCTATCCCTCCTAATTTCCAATACCTACACCTGCCTTAGATATAATAAATAGGAAAATGATCAACTTTATCAAATCGTATTTTCTCTGATGGTCTCGGTAGAACACACTTTTTAATTTTTTGAATTTCTTCGTTTCGATCGGCAAACACACTCTTATTTTTTCTGCCCTTTGCTGAAGAGCCTCTGCTATGCACTCGCTAAAATATTTGGGAGAATAATCTTTGGATGTGTGTTGTAAAAGATTTTTATCCCTTCTATACAGAATCCATGCGTTATTTGTACAAGTATTAAGCATTTGTGTAAATATGAAGAGGTAGCAGTGACTAGTTTTTAGGGAAATCCTCTAAAAGAATGTCCATCAGATCTACTCCATCCATGTGAGAATTGTAGTGTTTTATGAGAGCGGGACGAGGGATTTTAATTTTTGTTCACTGACTTTTATCATACCTTGTTATTGTTTGCACAGGTGTAGAAGATATATATGTACTAGAGTGTATTTTTATGTATGAGAGAGTAATAAAACAATAAATTATGTATGCAAATCCCTAAACTGTTGATACGGGTGACTCAATGAAAAACAGATATTTGTCAACAAGTTTACAGAAGTATATAGAAAAACAGTTTTAAATTGAGTATGACCACAAGGTATAAAGGTTGGAGCAGAATAGAATACAATAGTTGTGAGGGTTACTTATCCCTAAATAAGGTTGCCAGTGTCGGAGTGATGGAGGTTAACAGGTACTAATGAATTTGCAAGAAATGTAAGATGTTTATTTTATTGGTTATATATAACCAATAAAAGTTTAATAAGTACCTACCTATTTGCAAAATAAAGTTTAATTCTTTAGATAAAATAAAACGTTTTATTTTATCTGAAATGAGTGCATTCCACGAAGTAAGGGTTTCAACAATCAAACATTTAATTCTTTAATTCCAGGAATCTACGACAGTAATTGACTAGATAATTACCTTCTAAACTTATTCCACAGAAAATGTGATGGTGGGTTTTTCCATTTTGTAGGAAGGTCCAAGTGGCGTATTCAAAATTCTTAACAGTTCACTAAAAGTAGGTACTTCAGTTGCAAGGTGCAGTTTATTGTGTATACTAGTGTTATGGAAAATTTGGAAGTGCCGTGTAAACGCCGAAAAATTGGTCCTTTAACAGTTAATGAAAAAACATTAATATTTAATTGTTTTAAATCATTTACAGACAAACGTTTATGTGAAAGTGTTGATGAGACCATTAAGTTAGTTAGCAGTACACGTCTTGGTGTTGGGAAATCTACGATTTACAGAGTTATTAAAGAAGAGAAATTTGGTAGTTTTGAAATGCCACGTAATGCTCCAGGGAAACCAAAATTTCAAATAGAATATCATTTTAAAAAAGGACTTCGACGGAAAGTGTATGAATTCTTCTTTAGACAAGAATTTCCAACATTGGATAAAGTTCTTGTCTCAGTTCGAGATGATAAGGATTACGCAGAAATGAGATGAAGTACGTTATGGAAACTTTTAAAAGAAATAGGCTTCTACTGGAAAAAGAATCCCAGAAAGTCTATTTTATTAGAAAGAAGCGATATTGTCATATGGAGAAGACATTTTCTAAGAACCATAAAGGAAATGAGAAACCAAAAAAGAAAAATATTTTATCTTGATGAAACATGGATCAACGATGGTCATACACCAAATAAATTTTGGCAGGATTAAACTGTTACAAGTCAAAGGCACGCTTTTGTAAATAACTTATCTACTGGTTTAAACCCACCATCAGGAAAGGGACGCAGGCTGATAATAGTACACATTGGCAGTTCAGACGGTTTTGTTGAAGGTGGTTTATTAACTTTTGAGTCAACTCGTACCGGTGACTACCATGAAGACATGAACGCTGATGTCTTTCAAGAATGGTTCGAACAACTGATAGATCTTCTTCCTAAGAACTGTGTAATAGTAATGGATAATGCAAGTTATCACTCCAGACTTATAGAAGGACTGCCCACAACCAAGTGGTTAAAAAAGACTTACAGAATTGGCTGAGTTCAAAAAATATTACGTACCATCCCGGATCTATAAGAAAGGAACTTTATTCGTTGTGTGCCCTTCATAAAGAAAAATTTAAAAAATACGAAATTGATGAAATTGCCAAAAATCGTGGAATGACAGTACTTAGATCCCCACCATATCATTGTGAATTAAACCTGATTGAACTGGTATGGGCACAGATAAAGAATGAAGTTTTAAGAAAAAATACCACTTTTAAAATTCATGATGTTAAACAGTTGTTTTTGGAGGCCGTAAATAATGTAAAACCTGAAAACTGGGAAAAGGCAGTAAATCACACTATTAAAGAAGAGGAAAAAATGTGGAAGCTGGACAATATTACTGATAAAATGATCGAGCTAGTTATTATAAATCTTGGTTCTGAAAGTTCATCTTCTGAATCTGATTTGGATTTGTAACAAGTAGCTGTAAGTTTTATATTAATATTTTTATTCATCTATTTAACAAACCTTAGACGGTTTTAAAAACTCTTTTTCTCTTTTGTAATTTTTAAAAATAAAAAAAAAGTTAATTTTTTAAAACCCTTTTTAATGTAGGCCAGTCAGTTCTAATATAGTGTGTGATAAAAGAGGTCACTTTTGTTTACATACACATAACACTTTATAACACTGAAATAATTCATTTATTTTTTACAATTATTCAAAGTAATTTTTCAATTAATCTTGAGCACGCCCATGGAGTGGTCGAAGGTACCAATTAAAATTATGCTAATTACTCTCTCGTTCATAAAAATAAACTATAGCTAGGACAACAGGTTTCTCGTAAAACCATTTCATAACATTTATTTTATTAATATTGTCACTTTCTGAACAAAACTACTTTCTTTCACTGTTCTTCAGAGGTATTAAGAAACACAATTTTTTAATCGATCTTTTCTTATTGTTCCTAGGTCTAAAATTGCATCATCATTATCATTATCCTAAATTAAAACTTGAAAATGAATTATCGACATAGATAACACAGAACGCCGATGATTTCATTGATTGTATTAGAGCAAGAAAAACTTTAGCCGCTATTAATCCTAAGGATTTTTCTTTTTGTGAAAAAGTATGCTGCCTAAAAGTATTATCTCCATCTTAAACTATGAAACCGTACACAAACCCTGAAATTCCGGCTCTAACAAATATTTTAAAACACCATTTTTTTAGTTTTGGTTTTATGTACTATCGTCGTGAACCAGCTTTTTTTTTAAGGGACTGTCATCTAGTCGACACTCTGCGCGTTTTTTGCTCTTCTATAATACAACAATTTCTCACTATGTCCAAAGCTGGGCTAATTCAGTAGTACTGATCGTTGTCTATATGATCGTTATTAGCGAAGTAAATATACTGGGTAATTTTCTGATATTGCTTGAGAGGCTTTATTTCCGATATTTTATCGTATATAAAATTTACACATCAGTAGTCCAGGTATGGCATAGCTACTATAATCATCAAAATCTGTATAGCTATAAAGCCACTTATATTATCTTTAGTAACGATTATGGACTTGCCTGTTTGCTAAACAGAATAAAGGTATGTATCCACCACCGAAAAGTTATTTTCGGGAATGTTCACAAGATATTGAAATTCTTCTTTCTTCTTCTTCTTATAGCGCCGTCTCCTTTTGAAGGTTGCCGATCCAAATGGCAACTGTGGTTTTCGAAGCTGCTGCGCGAAAGATTTCTGCAGATGAGTGGTCGAACCATCTCCTCACGTTTTTCACGCATGACTTCTGACGTTTTCCTACTGATCTTTTGCCCTATACTTTTTTTTTCAGTATAACTTGAAGTAATTCATATTTTTCGCCTCTCAACACATGACCCAAGTATTCTTCTTTCGTCCAGTGGTATTCAATTAAATTCTGTCGTTTCCTGGGTTTATTTTCTAGT